TGATAAAATTCAACAAGTTGCGTAGTACATGAAAACCCCTTACGAAAACCATGTTGTTCATTAATCAGCAAGTTGTTTCTTATCATATGACCGATTACCTCTGAATATAAAATATGTTCGATGACTTTGCATGAGACGGAAGTTAATGAAATGGGCCTATAATTTACGACGTCTTTTTTTGGCCCCCCCTTATGGATAGGGACGACATGAGCTACCTTCCAGTCATCTGGCAAAAGTCCTGTGTCCAGTGACTTGGAAAAAATTAAATAAAGGTAAACCGAAATTGGGTAAGCACATCGCTTTAGTACACGCGGAGAAATGCCATCCGGTCCAGTTGCTTTTGTTTCATCTATGTTCCTTAACGCCTTCTCAATACCACTCATGCCAAGCTCAACTGGCTGCATTAATTCCACCGTACTAACAGTGGATGGATTAACATAGTTGTGTTTGGGCAAAAAGACAGACCGAAAGTAATTATTGAAGCACGTTGCTTTTTCTGTATCATCCGAAACTGTCTGTTGATTATATGTAATTTCACTTATTCCTACTGCATCCGATCCACATCCCTTTAAATACTTCCAGAAAAGCTTGGGGTTGGTTTTTAATCTGTCATTGAGTGTATTAAGATATTGTTCCTTAGCACCCTTTATGCTCCTTTTATATTCACGCGTAAGCTCAGCCAGTTTTTCAAGGTGATTACTACTTTTGGTCTTCTTATATCTATCAAATGCTCTCCTTCGCTTTTTAATTATCCTAAGAGTACTTGAAGTTACCCATGGTTTTCTTCGTTTTTTTAGCTTTCTAGAATCTATGCAGGGAACATATTTATCCGTTAATTGAAGCAACATTTTCTTGAAAACATCCCATAAATTATGGACATCATATTCCTCAGAAAGACACTCAAATACGGGAAGGCGGTCAAGAAGCTCTTCAGAAAACCCAGAGTAATTGCCCTTCTCAAAGAAAAAGACTTTCCTCGATTCGCATGAATTTACTCGTTTGATTTCAGTTTGGATATTTGCCACAACAGCGTGATGGTCACTGATACCAGGGATAATATTAACGGTGTTAATAAGATAGGGAGAGCTACAAAACAAGAGGTCTAAAATGTGATTATTCCTTGTTGGTTCACTCACATACTGCTGAAGCCCAAACGTATCCACAATGTTTTTCATTTCAAGATTATTTCGGCTACCAATCGTGCATACACAAGTGCCATCCCTCCACTCTAAGTCAGGCAAATTAAAGTCTCCCGCAAGGAGAATAATTTGGTTTGAGGCCTCAGAAACAATGTCGTATAGCGATCGGATTATACTAAGATCCGAATTCGGTGGTCGGTAATACGATCCAAGAACATAGGAAGAGCTACCAGGTAACGTGACTGTACACCAGATTGATTCAATAGCGTCATGACCAAGTTCGAGTGGGGATGATCTCAGCGATGAATGAACCAACAAGAAAACGCCCCCGCCGAGGCGTGACCTATCTTTTCGATAAGAAACAAACCCTTTCGGAAAGACTTCGCTATCACTTATGGAAGCGTCTAGCCATGATTCGGTTCCGAACACGATATCAGCCTTTACTGAGTCGATTAAGCCTGCCAATTCGTCAACTTTATTTACGATGCTTCTACAGTTTATTACAACAGCAACTAGGTCACGATGAACGCGCTTTTCTTTTTTTCCTTTTTTCGTGGGGCGTCAGTCTTTTTTGACAGGAACAACTTGATCTATTTCCGTATCCCATGTAAACACTTTATCATTTACGATGAGCTTATCAAAGTTTAGCTTTACACGGTTGCCACTATCCGCTTTTTTTGTTTTAGCATATTCCCAAAGTTTCTTTCGAATTTCACGGGTTTTCGGCGAGTAATCTTGGTCTACACTGTAGTTTGATCCCTTGAACTTTTTGGCGTTAGACAGAATATCCTGTTTTTCCTTGTAGGAGGCAAAATTAACGATGATTGGTCGTTTAAAGTTCTCATTATAGCGACCTACACGGTGCGCCCTTTGCACCGTTTTTAGGTCCACACCGAGCTTGTCTTTACAGATACTTTTAATGAGATTTTCAGATTCATTCCATGTTTCTTTGTTATTCGTGTCATCCACACCATAGAAAACAAGGTTTTGCCTACGACTTCTGTTTTCTAGATCAACATTCCTGTTTTCCAATTCGTTAATTTGTCTTGCCAAAAGCTCAATTAGCTTTGCTTGTTCTGTTACTAACTGATTAACGACCCCGATTTTCCCCTCCGTACCAACAAGCTTCTTATTTATTTCCTCGATCATGTTTTCATGCTTCTTGAACCTACTGTCGATAGCGTCCAGCTTACTCATAATGGAAGCCTGACCGCTCTGCAAACTTTTAAGAAGGTCAATTTCTACTGCGTCAAGGGGGCCAGGGTTAAGTTCTACATCCCCGGAAAGTAGCAACAAGAGAAACAGGTAAAGTACTCGATGTGCAAAGAGGCGAAAATATTTGCGAGATATACGCAGTCTCAATCGTCTGCCACAGAAGGTATCAGCACTTGACGTGGGAGGAGCCGGCAACGCAAACAGGGACTTTCGAACACAGATAGGACTGTAAGGACTAACCTGCGTGAACAACAGTAGTGTTAGCTGCATGTCGCCAAGCGTGCCGGCTCCAAATCCCACGCAGTCAAAGTGCCGTGCGCGTATATAGCCATCGACGAAGACACGTGGTGTCCCTTGCTCGAAGAAGATTGGCAAATCCAGTACGACGATCGACTTATCGAAGGAGCCGTCGCAGTCGGTGATGACTGGCAGATCCTCTTCAGCGATGCCCGGCGGCACGTGCAGTCCGGTGATAACCGTCGTAGAAGGTTCGGGTACGTACGGAAAAGCATCCCCTTTAGTGACCGCGCCGAGCGGAGCAGTTGCTCTGAGGGACGTAAGAACCTGCGTGAACAACAGTAGTGTTAGCTGCATGTCGCCAAGCGTGCCGGCTCCAAATCCCACGCAGTCAAAGTGCCGTGCGCGTATATAGCCATCGACGAAGACACGTGGTGTCCCTTGCTCGAAGAAGATTGGCAAATCCAGTACGACGATCGACTTATCGAAGGAGCCGTCGCAGTCGGTGATGACTGGCAGATCCTCTTCAGCGATGCCCGGCGGCACGTGCAGTCCGGTGATAACCGTCGTAGAAGGTTCGGGTACGTACGGAAAAGCATCCCCTTTAGTGACCGCGCCGAGCGGAGCAGTTGCTCTGAGGGACGTAAGAACCTGCGTGAACAACAGTAGTGTTAGCTGCATGTCGCCAAGCGTGCCGGCTCCAAATCCTTTCTCTACCTTTCTTGCTACCTTTCTCCTCCTTTTTTTCTTAGAGTGTGGCCGCCGAGGAAGGACCCCATAACGCAGCGCCCCCCACGGCGGCGCGGAAATAACTACACCTGGTTCGAGGCTACCTCCGAACAGGACATGTTCGCTCGCTCCCCGCGGGAAGAGCGGCGAGTAGCATCACCTTAGGGTGCCTAGATGTCTGTCTGTGTCAGGGTGAGGACATCCATTGTTGCCCTGAATGTGCCAGCGCGTGACGTTCTCGCGCACTCGGTGCGTGAATCGGGCGGTAAAATGGCGTCTATGCATTAGCCAAAGCTACGCGCTCGAGCTGAGCGACACCGGATTGCACGCACTTCAAAATGAATAAAAAAAACGATAGAGCGGAAAAATGGCTGAGATGTCACCACTCAAGCAAAAGCGCGCGTGTGTATGAAGGCACTCTACATCACCTAAATGTGTTTCTTTCACCTTGCCGCCCCCCCCCCCCCCCTCCTCGCTGCGCGGGACAAACGAGAACGGCTGCCTCGCTTCTTGAGCGCGGGGCTCTGATTGCCGACGCTAGCCGGCGACCTGCCCGGAGCTGCGGCCCCCCATGGAAGACGACTGCCCGACTGCCCGGCTTCTGGACCGCGGGGCTTGGATTGCCGCCGCAAGCCGGTGATTTTCCCGGAGCCCCTGGATGACAGTGCCCGTCAAAACCAACGCGGTCACTTGCCGGGAACCACAGCTTCCCATGGATGACGTTCGCGTGCCGCCAGACCATCGGGAAGCCGACCCATGACGGCGTTGGCGCGCCGCCCGCCGACAGTCTGGACATTAGGGAGTTTTCGTAGACCGCGTTTCCCTCTCCGCTAAGCCCACCGCAACGAAGCAGCCGCTATTGCGCCGGCGTGCCGATGGCCTTGACTGTAGAGTTCCGGCTAGCGTAGCTGGTTGCGAAGAGCGTTGCGGGACAGCGGAAACGATCTACGAAACCTCCCTAGTGACGTAAGGCTTGCCTCGTAAACATTGTTTTTTCTGTTGTTGTTTTTTTTGTTTTTTTTTTTAATAAAGAGTGAACCTAGATTGTTTGCCTTGTCCACCCGAGGAGGGGGCGTTAAAGAACCACCCACAAGCAGCGACAACTGAAAGTTCTCCCTGCTTTGTCCCCTTGAAAGAAATTGCGACGCACATTTTGGAAATGTGACATTCAAGATGGCGACCGCCGTGTAATGGTGCATAGGCTGTAGCAGATTGTATTTCTACATTGGTCGTGCAAATTTTTTCAGTACTCAACCCCAACGACATGCGAGAAACAAACAATTCGAAAGAAATAGCTACAAATGGAACTCCGCCATAATAACGTGCCCGATTGCAAGCACGACGTCCTAACTGGTGCCTCATTGGCGTAAGCACATGCAGCATGTGCGTGAAGGTAACTTTGCAGGAGCTTTTTGCAGGACAAAAGACATACCAGCGGCTCAATGACACATTTTCAATTGTGAGGGAAAGAATCATGGAGGCGTAGGGGACGAAGTAAAATGATTTTATGCCCTAGGGCGCATGAATGTACACACATGAAGGCACCCCCTGCCGCCTCGTCAAGGTGACGCCCAACACCGTGTGTAATGTAATAGACTAAGACCTCCAGATGTAAAATCGCCGGTACCCCCCCCCCCCCCCCCCCCCCCCGCCGCCGTGTCGGTGGCCAGAATCGCGTTGTCAGTGGAAATCGCAGCGCTTGGTCGGGTTGAGCCGGGCTCCCATGGGACACTTGAACGTCTCAGCGAAGTGTTTTTCGTTAGAGGCGGGCACGTCGCAGCGCAGGAACACTGGAGGATACTTCTTTTTTTGATCAACTGCTTCGCGATTAGTCGCGCAGAAGGCAAAACAACCGCTCGCAAAAAACAACTTATCCGGATTATATCCAAGAAGTCCGTGACCCTTGGCGATCTTGCTGAAAGCAGAGTACGCTTTCTCAACCCCTGCGGTATCCGCAAACGATTCGTCAATAGAACTGCGACCGATGCCCCTAATGTCCGAGGCATTCTGTACTTGTTTCATCACGCACTGCAGTTTTCTTTCGAATTCGGCACGAGATGCCTTGCTGTACCAGTCGACTTTGTCGCCCGACGTGGAGATGTCCCCATACAGCAAGTCGAACGAGTGCGTAAGCTCGTGACCTAGCACCTTTCCAATGGCACCGTAGTTTACGGCGGTCGGAAGGGAAGGATGGACAAAGGGTGCCAGCAAGATGGAGCCAGGAACGATAATCATGTTCCAGACGGGAGCATAATACGCGTTAATTGAGGTCACTTCAATGAGAAGGTCATCCCTACGGACGGTCACTGCGGGGTCATGTACCAGGAGTCTTTTCTGCTTTTCCGACATTATTTTTAGTGTTTCCATGAAGCTTCGAATGAAGGGCTCTTTGAAAGAAGGAACGTACTCGAGAGCCTGTTCAATGTCTTTGCGCTGCGTGAGGTGTTCTGGGAGGCTTACGACAGAGATGATGCTATCCACGCGGTTTTTGGCGCCTGCGATTGTTTTGTTGTCCATCCAGGTGAGCTGTTCGAAGGACTGCTTGGTCGCTTCTTTGACATCAGTCAGAATCTTGTTAGTTAATTTTTCCACGCCAATTGGGCTGATTGCATCAAAAAGGAGCCGTCCAATTGAAAATGGAAGTATACTGTTCACTAATTGCAGACATCCTTGACTTTTTTGAACATCCGATAATCCCAGGCAGTCTATCTGACCAAATGACAGCCCAGGAGAAAGAATCTGAATAATAACCCATCCTACATAGATCATAAGGTCAATAGAATTGTCGCCTCGACCGCGAAAAAGCTCTTTGATATAAGCTAACAGCCCTTCATTGAACACTAGGATGTCCTCACTTGAGTTGATCTGTCTGTCTTGGGGTAAGTGCTTGTTGACTGCGTTCGTCCAGTCGCTGGGGGTAAAAACTGGACTCGTCGCGTTTCCTACATCTTCGATAGTGGTGCGACGGGGAGTCCACTTGCCTTCTAGTTTAAAAGTAGTCGTCAGAGACCTGACTTCCGTGTTTACTGACACTATCCGCTCGGCTAAGACGTCGGGGCTGATGCCAGACCTCTGAGGTATGGACTCGAGGCAGTCTCGAATACGGTTGTGGTTTGTCAGTGCTGAACTGTTATGATCTACACCTGCACTCGCCGATAGCATGAATCCGTAGCGATTGTTTGTCTTGAAGTCAATTGTCATACCAAATTGAAATATTACGCCAAGTTGGAAGTCGAGCGACAGTCCCACTAGTGCTTCCAAAATGTCAACGTTCTTGGTTACCTTCAGTGACGGCCACTCGAGCGAGTAATTCTTGAAGACATCCAGGAGCACGTGGAGGTGCTCTTGGTGCTTTTCCTCGACCGCTCGACACTCGGAGAAGGCGACCACCGTCTTGTCGAACACGGAGGGAGAGGAGCGCTGAGGAGTCTTGATGAGCAGTTTGAAAAGCTCCACGAGGATTCTTAAGTTTAGATATTCAAAGTGAGACGCTGTTAGCGGGTGGTTAAGAGCCCAAAAGGCGCACGTGTGATCGTACAGACCTTCGCAGGCATCCACGTTGTGGTCCACGCTTTGGCGAAGTTCGCTCGTGAAGTCGAAGCAGTCGACTGGGTGGTCGCACCACGGGAATAATGCCTCGGACGCCAGGTTTGTCACTAGCTTAGCACCGAAGTAGGCAAGGCCGAAGAGAGTGACCACCACCGGGGACAAGGGCATGGCTTCGATTATTTTCGCAGTTCGCGTCTGGCTTGGAAGACCAGTATTTGGCTTCTGGAGAAAGAATGCTCGCGCATCAGCGGATCTCGCGCAAGGTTATCTCTTCTTTGTTTTCTTTATTAATGACTCTTTCCAAAATTCAGTCTGGAAAATTCGATAACCATCATCATCCGAATGTATTCCGCTATATTTTGTTTGATGTCAACATGATGACCACTTATAGGCCATTTTCTTTACAAACGCCACAAGGCGGTGCTTCTGTATTTTGACGTCCCACCGAACTTCCGGTTCATAAAATGAATGATCATGAAACGTCGAAAAATCATTTAACCACCGATTCTCGACGTGAACGCCAAAAGAACCAAGAAGTGCAAAATATGTTTTATTTTTAGAGCGCAGCTCTTAGGCGACCGTTTCCGGCCTGAGCGGCGTCGCCGTCGGCGTAACCAAGGTCACTCCAAGGTCACCCCAAGGTCACGTGACCCCCAAGGCCGCGTGACCCCTCCCCCAGGGTCACGTGACTTTCCCTACCCGTCCCCATGTGACCCCCTCCCCCCGTCGGCGTCGGCGTCGGCGTAACCGCGAGTAACCCTCGTAACCCTCGTGAGGGTTACAAGGGTTACTCTCACGAAGGTTACCCTCACGAGGATCACGAGGGCTACGAGGGTTAGTTGCTCTCAAAAGGGTTACCCTCACGAGGGTCACGAGGGTTACCCTCACAAGGGTTACAAGGGTTACCCTCACGAGGGTCACGATGGTTACCCAGGTCACGTGACCCCCCTCCCAAGGTCACGTGACCCCCTCCCCCCGAGGTCACGTGACCCCCGCTGACGTCATCGCCACTAATCACGTCCTCTGTGGCGTCACTGATGACGTCACCGGCATCCGTATCTTCATCGTCATCACTGATGACGTCATTAGTGACGTCACCTATGACGTCACCGGCATCCGCATCGTCATCCTCATCATCACTGATGACGTCATTATTGACGTCACCGATAACGTCACCGGCATCCGCATCGTCATCCTCATCATCAGTGACGTCACTGATGACGTCACCGGCATCCGCATCGTCATCGTCATCACCACTGATGACGTCATCGGCATCGGCATTGTCACGTGACCCCCCCCCCGATGTCACGTGACAACCCACGGTCACGTGAACCCCACAAGGTCACTTGACCCACCCCCCAGTGCCCTTCCCTCCTCCTCAAGAGCTGCGCTCTAATGTTCTTGTAAACCAACTTGTCTCCTTCGGGACGTTAAATCACACCAGCGAAGGCCCTCGCTAAATCTCAAACTTTGTTGTCGGTGTAGCATTTATGCTTTCTAGCACTGGTGACATAAGCAAGCTCAACAAGCTTGTAAAGACGTAGGGACCGGAAGTCGTTTGGGACGCAAGCCTCGGTTTATGTTTGTCTACAATAATTGGGTTGTGTGTGTGTTTATACAGCCTAGAACTTGGTCTGCCTCACAGGGGCGACGAGTCTCCCAGCTGTAGATGAGAAATTTAGCCAGTGCGGTACAGCCGCTAGCCTGGGGTCTTTAACGTGCATCACGCAGTAGTGATACACGACCGCACGCCGGTACGATGCTCATTCAGATCGAAACGGGCAGGGGCGGGGCTCGAACCCAGGATCCCTGGGTTCATGTTTGTCTACAGTAAAAGAATGTAAAGCGTTTGTTCGTACGTTACACATTTGAGGATGTCATGAGAATCCTTGAAATTCTCGCCTTCGGCATGCGTCAGACAGCTCATAGGAAGAAAATAATGAACAAAATTCTAACAGTGAATTTTCCCCTATTCAATACAAGTGCTGCGTCAGGGTTCCTTTCGGATTGGAATTTAATAAATCTGTTGGTACACAGTAGGCGCATATGCCCCTTGATTTGGTGAATTTCATCAAGAGCTTTCCACAATTAAACGACTCGCACAGTGCAGGGTGCCTCAATGTCCTTCATTTTAGTGTGATGCCACCCTTTGTAGTACCCGATGCCGAGAGCACGCGCTGAGGGGGAAATACAAAGAAATCGACGGAAACAAAATGTCACCATAGCACAGTCAGCGCCACAATCGCGTGCAGGGACACGCTTTTTCACGCGCTTATGAACAAAAAAAAATAATAAAAATAAACGTGTGGGACAAAATGGCCAGATCTCTCCACCTTAAGCAACGCGCACATGAAGGCACCCTAGTACAGTGTAGTGGTTTATTGTCACCACCGAAACTGAAACGAAAAAAAAGAACTGTACAGCGGATAACACTGTCAATTTTGCACTTCTTCTGTTGACACATGACAACGATGTAAGATACACTCTTTAGTCGAGGACACGACGGGGCTGAACGCGCGCCGCGAGAAATCAGTGTTCGTTCGACGGGCAATGGAAAGGCTGCATCCTTCCGCTGCCAATACGGAAAGGTAGCGCAATTCATCCTCTCCCCTCGTTTTCCTCTTTTCCATCGAGGGCAATCCTCCTCGCCCAATGTCCGTGGCCACACCCCCCGCCGCCATGTCTGAGCGGGGCCCACAAGGCGCGCGACTGGGCCCGTCTGTGTGCCTGGCACAACCGGGTGCCGGGCCGAACATGTTATTGCATACGGCAGACTAGAGATTTTTTTTTTTTTTCAGATATGAAGACAGTGTTGTTTTTTTAAAGTGAAGATTCTCTCGTTTGTGCACCTTTATTGGAGTTATAAAGCGCGGGAAGACGTCTCTATCGGCAAATATATTAGAACGAGCAGAGTTGGAATCGCTCGGGCGTGAAGACGAAAAAGAATTTCTCCAATTCCGCTAAACGCAAACGATTAAAAAAAAAATGTAGTCGAGTATTTTAGAACATCGGCATGCACTGCGAAAATATATTTCTTTTACCCGCTTATAGCAGCAAAATCCGAGAGCAGGCACACGATAGAATGCACCTCACCCTGCGTGTAGATAGAGTTTCGTGGGGAAGGACTGCGGTTGCTTGCGGGAGCTCGCGCCGTCGCTTTGAGCATGAATTCGGCACATGCCCGCGAGGCTCGCAGTCCTTAACGTACGCTCTACTAAAGCTTTTTAGTATCTGGAACGAAGTGCATTTGGAGAATCGGCATCGCTCGAGTTAGGCAAATAAATGACACAACAACGCGTGTAAAACAGGACTTTTCGGCAATGTTTAGCATCACCGATAGTTTTGTCGATCCAGCTGCTTAGTTTACTTCATACCCATCTTATAAGCTTCGAATACTACCTGCAACTGTGAACATGCGCGCGGAGGAATATGCGACGTCTGCCTATTTACGCGCCTCGGGCATATAGACGCTTTGCAGCAGCTGTGCATGGGCGCCGCCATAACTGACCTTCAGTTTTTGTTCCCCTTATTACGTCTCCTTTACTTCATTATTGCCATAGCAGTCCAGGTTATTGACATCTTAGACTTTATTCTGTCTTGCTCCCCAGCATTGGCCTTTGTGGAGGCTCGTCCACACCAATTTCAGTGGCTCGGTATCTGGGTAAAACAAGAGAAGGTCAGCAATGGCGGCTGTATTCTGGCGCGTGTGTAAAGCGTCTATAACTACCCATCAAATTCACTCACTTGTATCCCCTCCGCTAAAACGAAAAAAAAAAAGCGCGTGCTCGCGGTTGCCTTGCCAGCACGTTTCTCATTTATCACATATATTAGTGTGTTAACGTTCGCACACGCAAGGTACACCCTTGAGTTCACTTTCAAAGCGTATAAGCTTTGCCGCACACCCGCGGGCGTACCTTACTGCGTGAGTTACAAAACGAGGACAGAGATCCTTGAGCAAAGCTTTCTAAATACAAGAGCCATTTTTTATTGTGAATAATTGGTGTAATATTAATCACAAAAGTACAGATCACCGACAAAGATGAAGACAAGAAAATATTTATTGCTACAATGCAAAATATTGCACATTCGAAAGAGGTCGGTGTGAAACAATTTAAGAATTAAACTGCATATGGGGGGCTTGAGTTTCTTGAGGTTAATCTTTGCCAAGATCACTGGCACAAACTGATCGTTCGTGAAGTGATCTTGAAAAATAAATGCAGCATCGCATATTTTTAGTTGCCATTTGTGAAGCACCGATCACGGAAATATGTTGCACAAACAAAATCGCGAGGTGCTCGATCGTTGGTGACTCTCCTTTCACTGACGCAAGATGCACGCGGTAACGCTACAACCCTCTTTATTTTAGTGGTGCCCTAGTCTCTCACGCATCATTCTCAACTCGGCCGACTCAATGCAAGCGAGCTAAGAGCGAGCGAGTCGGTTTTCAGTAACAAATACGCGGTAAAAGACGTCTCAAAGTCCTTCGTGCCGTTAATATAGTTCCGTGTTTGTCTCGTCTCATGATCGTACTAGGTGATCCTTATCGGCGGGACCGAAAGAGACAGGTAATACAATTCAGAGTTTGACAATGATTTACCTCGCAAAGTCTCCCTCGGAGACACTCGAAACCTTTCCGACCGATCCGGTGGAGCCATTCCCGTTGGGACGGCAAAAAAGCTTCTTTCCTTTCGCAATGCTGTTTGTACAATCTACAGCACAGCATGATGGCATCGCGTTGCCGCCCGAGGTTGTAATAAAATATATATAAAAAACAAAAAAAACCTACGGCCGGGCCGCGAACAACGGAGCCACCGCTACGCCTGGCCCAGTGATGGCGTTGGTTTCGAGCAGACGACGGAATCGCGCGGGATCATGGGAAGACAACGGTCACGTGTCGCGCCAGATCCAATTGAAGTGAGGGGAAAGAGAACTTTTGAGAGGGAAAGGGCATCGGCGAGGAGAAATTTCTCTCCCCAATTCAGACAATGGTTTGCGCTACCTTTCAGTATAGACCCTTTCAGGCAACATTTCATGGGCGCCGCCATCTTGACGTCACGTGACCCTGCCGCCATAGCCGCCCTTCAGTTTCTCGCCGTTCCTCCGCGTTGTGTGCTGCACCGGCCACTACCGGAGCTTTGTTTCGCGTTCTTTTGGGTTCCGCGTTGAAA